TATATATAAATGTAACGTTTATACATATTTATGCATCGACTCGAATTATACAATGTGTAAAAAATTGCATTGATAAGTGCAATCAATCCAAACATGGAGATGAATGTGAAAATTATGTATCACATGTAAGCTTTACTAACTTATACTTTCCTAAGGTTTCGGAAACACCGATTATGTGCCTGACATATTTCGCTCATTCCCAACAAAGCATTTTTTATATGTAAGCCTTGTCAATTTTTCGATTAAGTTATTAATATATAATATAATATGAATTTTTCTAGTTTTTCTAGTTATTTAATCATTGTTCTTCTTTATATATCATCATCATCATCATCATCATCATCATCATCATCATCATCATCATCATCTTCATCATCATCATCATCATCCAGCCTAGTTTGTCCACTGCTGAACGTAGGCCTCCCTTAAATTTTCCCACATTTCGCGGTCCTGTGCTATTTGAATCCAATTTTCTCTAAATCTCTTCAAATCATCCATCCACCTTGTCGGAGGCCTGCCTCTGTTTCTGAAGGCATCTCGTCTTGGTCGCCATTCCAGGATCCTTTTAGTCCATCGGTTATCATTCCTTCTGCCCATGTCCTGCCCAGTCCCATTTGAGCCTTTTCAGCATGTATATAGCGTCTGTTACCCCCGTACGTTTTCTTATTATTATATTAGGGATCCGGTCTTTCAGGGACAAGCCTAACATTATTTGTTCCATCGCTCTCTGAGCCACTCTAATTTTAGCGATAGTCTTGTTTGTAAGGGTAAGAGTCTCCACCCCATAAGTGAGCACCGGCAGAACGCACTGGTTGTATACCTTTCTTTTCAGACATATTGGTATATCTGTTTTGAAGACGTTCCGTAACTTACCGAAGGCCGCCCATGTTAACCCTATTCTTCGTTGGATCTCGTGCGTCTGATTATCTCGTCCGATTGTTATCTCGTACCCCAAATACTTATATGTCGCTACTTGCTCCACGTTGTCTTCGTCCCCCAAAATATTTCCACTAAGAACCAAATTGGTCATAAATTTAGTTTTAGAATAATTAATCTTTAGCCCTATACGTAATCTGAAGCTTCTTTGAGTGTCTCCAACATTTTCTGTGCCTCGTCTACTTTGTCTGTGATGAGTATCAGATCATCAGCGAAACGCAAGTTGTTGAGCCTCTTACTCTCAATATTGACACCCAATATTCTTCCCAGCTTAGGTTCTTAAACATGTATTCTAATAATGTTATAAAGAGTTTAGGTGAGATAGTATCACCTTGTCGCACTCCTCTTTTAATATTAAATCTATTGGTATCTTCGTGTAACGATACTGAGGCTGTTGCGTGATGGTATATGCATTTCAAAAGACCCGTGTACCTATCTACACGACATTCAGCTAAGGCTGCAAAGAGTTTTTGCTGGTCAACCGAATCGAACGCTTTCTCATAATCAACAAAAATCAAGATAATAGGTTTATTATATTCTACACATTTTTCAATCAAAGTTTTCACCACCAGCAGGTGATCACTTTTGTACTGAAACCTGATCTAAATCCAGCCTGTTCTCTCGGTTGGTATTGATTCATTTTGTTTGAGAGGCGCTTTGTAAGGATTTTTGTAAACAGCTTGTATATGTGGCTCAGTAAGCTAATGGATCGATAATTTGAGAGATTGGTGATATCTCCCTTTTTATATAATAAGATGATGCTGGCGTTGTCCCATTTTGATGGTGTTTTTCCCTCCTCTAGGCATTTGTTGAATAGTGTTCGTAATACTTTTAAGATTGTTGGTTCCCCTTTTGTAATAGTTTCAATAGCAATACCATCTTCGTCTGGAGATTTGTTGTTTTTCATCTCTTTCATTGCTGCTGAGATTTCACTTGAAGTTATTTCTGGGATTTCTTCTGAACCTTGATTTATAAGAACCGGTATGCCAGCCGGCACAGTCCATTTGTCTGGGTTGTTATATAACTGTTGGTAAAAGTTTTCTGTAATGTTCAATATTTCCTTCCTGTTTGATGTTACATCTCCTTTCTTATTTTGCAGTTTATGTATGGCTTGCTTTCCTATATCGGTCTCTTTTCTAAATATTTTTAAGCTTCTATTTTGTTCGATAACTTGTACTATTTTGTTTCTATTATATGTTCTTTTGTCTTTTCTTATTTCCTTTGATATCGTTTTATTAAGTTGTCTGTATTCTTCTGACTGTTTCTTTAGCATTACTCTGCGCTGTCCTATCAAGTCCTTAGTGTATTCGCTGAGCTTCGCGTCTCTGGTGTATCGTGCAGGACTGTGTAACTCCGTTGCCTCTATGAGGGTGTTTACTATACAGTTGTTAATTTTATCTATTGTCTTATTTTCCAGCTGTTCTAATTCCAGTTTATTTTCTATCGTTGCTTTATATCCTTCGACCTGTTGTAATGGCACCCATTTCCTTGTCATTTTCTTTTTCATCATTTTTCTCCTTTTTGTCTCGAAGTTGAGCACGACTTTCGCTCTTACTATTCGATGATCACTTCCGGTGGAGAATCTGTTCAGGACTTCTATATCGTTTATCATCCTTTTGTCGGTTAGTACTAGATCTAGCTTATTTTTAGTAACTCCATCTGGGCTTGCCCACGTCCATTTCCTATTAGGATAGCTTTTTAAAAAAGGTGTTCATTAAATATAGTCCGTTTTGCAATGCAAATTTCACCAGCTTAGCTCCCCTCTCGTTTCTCTTCTAAAACTATGGTTACCTATAGAAATTTCTGCTTCATCTTCCTTATGGCCTACTTTCGCATTAAAGTCTCCCATTAAGACCAGAAATTGAGTCTTAGTCGATGTTAGGGCTTTAGACTTCGTAGTACATTTCAACTTCTTCTTCAGTACTGCTTGATGTTGGAGCATAGGCCTGTACAATTTTTAAGCTGTATCTTTCGTTTAATCGAGGAATTAAGTATATGACTCTTGAGCTGATACTTCCAATATCTAGAATGTCAGCGGAGTGTCTCTTGTGAATGAGGAATCCCACTCCTCTCAAAGAAGATTTGTTCTCTCCTTGGTGGTATTATATAATACATTACCCGATTTTAAAGTTTTTTGCTTCTCCATTTTTCTTCTCATTTCGCTCAAACCGATGACGTCCCACTTTATATGACGTACTTCTTCCTCTAGTTCCATTAATCTTTCGTCTGTTGATAGGGTTTGGACGTTGTACGTGGCAACATGCAATTTTCGTCTATGAAGGTAGCCTGGTCTCCTCCGGGGATTCTTCGTACCCTCTGCTCTGTTTCTTACCCGACCGCTACCGTAGTCGGGGGGTTTCAAGCTGCCGGAGACTGAGGGCCGTTTCGTAGTAAATGTGTTCATTCATGAAAGGGAGAACTTAGCTATACTCTACCACGCTGGCCAGTGCGGATTGGTAGAGAGGATAGGATGCGGGTAGGATGGTGTGATAGTAGATTGTGAATAGAATAAGGTTTAAGACATGACTCCTCCGGGATCAGGATATGGGAGAGACTGAAGGCTCGCGTGGGCAGGATCGCTTCCCTGAGGTAGGCCTGTCCTCCATCAAGTCCGCAGAGGAGTGCCTACTCGCTACCCAAAGTATATGTATAAAACATCATAAGAAGAAAAATCGATTAACAGTTATATATGTTTTCAAGGAACTTGATTTAAGTAGATCTCATTATATTTTCTTTTGACATATTAATCTAATATAATAATAATTAAAATAATTAAAATATATCGTTTTTCTCGTTATAGTCAAGATTGTTTAATTTTTTTTTCTAGAAAATAGGGCACTTGGTGAAATAATCATTTATTGAGATGTTTATTTTAGCGTTTTATTGACCACACAGCCTTAAAATTTGCTCACGCACAATATTTCCTCGCGTGTACGCCGCATTTTTTAAACCTATAATATAATATTCACGCATGCTTAAAAAGCACTGATACTTTATTAATTCGACGTAACATAAAAAATAGAGAGAGAGAGAGAGAGAGAGAGATGTATATATGTATTAATACGTTATGAATTTTTAGCTTTACTTTCTTATTGTTTTGATCATTCCAATATTTTGTTACTGTTTAATTTCAGTGAAAGTAATGTTTATTTAATTATAATAATTATCGCGAGATGAGCTGATTTGTTGCGATAGTAAGGTGAAAAGTTGTCCGTGCGATTTTAGCAAAATCATACGCGATTACAATCTTTAAAAAATTAGAATATTTTTATTATAATGTACAATTATTTACTTATTATATAACAACAAAAAGAAGACGCAAGAGAGAGAGAGAGAGAAGACATAA